CTCCTCGCCCTACTCCCAACTTGATAGGAGAGAAGAAGCCAATGAATCCCCCAGCTGTGGTTTGAAGGGCAGGGAGAAGACCTGGATCTCAGATCGGCTTGAGGATGAGATAGATCCTCTCCCCTCCAACTGGTGACCCCAGCTCCCTCTGAAGTCATTCTGACAGGTCTATTCTCCTGAGTTCAATTCACCAGTAGGGCTGAGGTTGGGTGGGGGGAAAGGTGGAAGAATCCACGGAACAGTATGGGTCTCTGGTCCTGCCCCTTTGGTGCCTGGGGTGTGGCAGCTGCTGTGGAGTGTGGAATGATGACTCCCAGCTGTGTGCATGTGTTGGGGGGCCGGGGTAAGGAGGAGGGAAGAGAGAAGGCAGCCTTCCATTCTGTCCTTTCATCCTGTTCCCAAGCACAGCTGGTGACCTGCACTTGCAGCTGGGAGACCAGAACAGCAGTCTCCTGCGGTGAATGACAAGAGCTAGCCTCAGCTCCCCATTCTAAGGAAACTCTGTGTCATGGGTGGCTCGCCCCTTATTCTATCCCTTTCTATTCTCAAGCAGGGTAGGTTTTCAGGTAGCTTTGCATTAGACAAGGATCTTGGTACTATCGTTTTCACTGTGGAAATAGCCCTGGGATTGGAGTCAGGAAGCCTGGATTTCAGCCTCACTTTGTAGCTAATGAGCTATGCAACTTTGAAAGGATCCTACCATCCGTCTCTCTCCAAACTTTGGTTTTCTCACCAGTACAATGAGAGTAATAATACTTGCACTGTTTATCCCAAGAACTAGTTGTAGGGAAAGTATTTTAGAAATCTGAAACTTAGATAGTTGTTAATTTTTGTTTTGTTGTTGGGTTCTTTCTTTCTTTCTTTCTTTCTTTCTTTTTTTTTTGGACTGAGACTGAGATTTCTTTGATGTAGAAACTCCCAATGAAGGGACTTCTTCCACCAATGCAGACCAGCACTGGCTCTGCCACTTAGAGTTTTGGGGGGCACAGAGAGATTAAGTGACCTGGGAGGATCCCTCAGCCAGCATGTGTCAGAGGCAGGATTTGATCCCAGGTCTTCCTAGCACAGGGCTTGACACACGGCAGATGTTTAATACCTGCTTGCTGATTGGCTGATTGAGTTCCGATGCTGAGACTTATTCTTTGTCCGTGATGGCTCTGCTGCATTCTTGTTATTGTCGTTATTAGACCCTTAGACCCTCGACCTACAGGTGGTACCACAGAAACATGACTCTGTGCACCGAAAACCTCCCACTCCAGCAGCACACCCAGACTGCAGAGCCCAAAAGCAAGCACCCTGTTCTCCCAGAGGCAGAGAGAACATGAAAAGCCATGTTCTCAGTTAGTGACTAGCCCCTGTATGCAGGGCTGATGTTCTTCAGAGGCTGGGGTCCTGCCAGTCCTCCTCAAGTTACCACGTATATACTTTCCTCCTTACATATCTGCATATATGGACATGTGTGTACATGTTCCCATATACAAACTTGTATACACCAACACATATATACATACATAAGTAAGCTCTTAGAGAAGCTTACTCTATATACATATATATGTACTATACATATATGTATAAGTGAACTCTAAATGAGTATACTATATACAAACGTGTGTATACGTAAGTGTGTATACACATATGTATGCATGTATGTGTATGCACCTTGTGCATATATACATGTGTGTATATGTGTGTGTGTGTGTGTGTATGTATAATAAGCTACTCTAGGGTTCGTTTGTCTTTGTATGCTCAGTGCCTTAGGCACAGTAGGATCATGGCGTTAGCTCTAGAAGAGACGTCCCTCAGAGGTCATCTAGTTCAACCCCCTCATTTATAAGTAGCACTGCCTTGGTGTTGCCAAGGAGATCGAGACACTGCAGATAGATGCCTACTGTTTTTCAGGCATGGGTCTCCCAGCATTTCTTGATTCTACCAGAAATCTGCCCTAACCTGGGACAGAGGGAGGGGGAATGCCATGGTTCATAAGCCTACTCTCCCATCCTTAAGGAATGTGAGCTGCTGAAGCCATGTGAGAGCTGAGGGACAAAGTAGTGGCACCAGAGCAGCCCACAGAAGCAGGAGAGAGGAGGGGAGCCATCATGACAGGGAGCACATTCAGATACCAAGAGAGTGGAAGTTGCAGAGAGAGCAGCACCAAGCATGAGAGAGAAAGATTTCAATTGCAGTATTTTGCCAGAGTGGTTCTGTGGTTGGGGGCTCAGAGCTGAAGGAAAGAAAATTATTGATTTTTTAAAAACAAGGAATAAGAGAGAAAACATGTCTTCTCACTTAGTACTGAAAAGTTACTAGTCAGGCTGGAAGTACTCTAGCTAGCTGGGCTGGTATTAGAGGCAGGGTCTATCTATGCCATCTTGCCCTCTACCCCACCCCCACCCACAATTTGTTTTTTTTTCTTTTACATTTTAATTTATTGTTTATTTTATAGCAATCTTTTCTTTTTAAATTTTGAGTTCCAAATTCTCTTTCCCTTTCATCCCCTCCCTAACCCACAAAGAAGGCAAGCAATATGATATCAATTATACATATGAAATCATGCAAAACATTTCCATATTAGCTATATTTTTTTAAAGCAAGAAAAAGAAAGTGAGAAAATTATACTTGAACTTGGACTCAGAGTTCATTAGTTTTCTCTCTTGAGGCGGATAGTATTTTTCATCATGAGTCCTTTGGAATTGTCTTGGATCATTGTTTTGATCAAGTAGCCAAGTCTTTCAGAGTTGATCATCATTATAGCATTGCTGTTACTGTGCACAATAATCTCCTGGTTCTTCTCACTTCACTTTGCATGAATTCATATAGATCTTGCCATGTTTTTTCTGAAATCACTCTTCCCCCGCACCCCACCCCTTGTCATGTCTTATAGCACAGTAGTACTCCATCATAATCATATGCTACAACTTCTCAGCTTGGTTCTAAAGGAAAACTTTAGGAGAGGAGCTGAAGGAGAGACTGGAGAGTCACATGGCCAAGGAAGTGACTGGAGGCATTAGCCTCACAGACATAGGGATTAGAGTGGGAGAGAGTGATTAACCCTGCTCACTTGCACAGCAGACACCCACACCACTAAACTAACTGAAGGCCAAGGACATTGAGTTGACTTACCAGAGGCCCTTTGGCAAACTCAAAGTGAATGCACCCTGAAGGTCAGGGGCTTAAGCCCCAACAGTGCATCTAGGGGGAAGTGGAATATGGATCCTGTGTGATTCCTTCTCATGGTCCAGTCGAGCACTCAGTGACAGGAAGGCAATAACTATATAATCAACACATTTAAGGCTCAGTTATCAATGAAGCAAGACAAAACTTGTCACCCTGTGCCTTCTCCCACTCTCTATGGTCCCCCACTAAGGCTCTCTCCAGTAGTGTTCTAGAGCTGGCTCAGAGTTATTCTAGAGAGCCAATTATTAAAATTTCAGAGCATTTACACTTCAGAAATAAAAAATGCAACAATTCAGGGTTTGATTTATTATTTTATTGACTTCTAGACTTCAGAAAGTGATGGAAAAAATGTCAATGATGCAGATTAAATTTAAAAGTGTTGTGAACACCATTTTAGGGAGAGAGACAGTTGTTAAACATTTACCAGCACACCTTGGCTCTGCCCCAGGTAGGTCCAACAGCTTATATTCTCTTCTTACAAATTTGAACATTGGTGTCCCCAGGGGCCCAGCCATGGGTCAGGCTCTCAAGCTTTGGGTAGCACTACTCAAATAAATAATAATAACAATAATAACAGTTTATATCTCTATAGAAATAACACATTTTTATAACACTTTGCAGTCTACACAGTACTTTCTTTACATTGGCTCTGTGAGGTAAGTAGTACAGAAATTATTCTCCTCATTTTATAGATGAGGCAAGTGAGAGTTAGAAAAGTTGTTTTTGTCCACAATTGTTCAAGTTGTTCAGTCATTTCAGACTCTCCATGACCCCACTTGCAGTTTTCCTTGGGAAAGACATGGGAGTGGTTTGCCATTTTCTTCTCCAGCTCCTTTTACTAATGAGGAAACTGAGACAAACAGGATTAAGTGATTTGCCCAGGTCACACAGCTAGTTAGTGGCTGAGGCTAGATTTGAATTCAGATCTTCCTGAGTCTAGGCCAGGCGTTTCAGTCACTGAGCCACCTAGATGCTTGTCCCCAGTAACATGATTAAAGAAGTGATACAGCTGGGATGTGAACCTTCTTGTCTCCAAGCTCTTGCTCTTTCCACTATAACTGTCTATCCTTAATAAATAAAATAATATCCTTAATAAATAAGATACATTTAAAATTAACCATTGCGCCTGTTTTGCCAGTGAACCCTCAAAATTCTTCAACATGTGAGATCCTCTTTCCTAAACTAGACTCTCCCTAGGAGCACAGGCCAGGAACTGAGAGTCCAAAGACCTGATCACAGGTAGATTTCAGAAAAACCTGGAGAAGCTTACATGAACTGATACTGAGAGAAGTGAGTGGAACCAGGAGAACATCGTACACGACTGTGTGACGATCAACTTTGATAGACTTAGCTCTTCTCAGCAATAAAATGATCCAAGACAATTCCAAAAGACTCATAATGGAAAATGCTATCCACATCCAGAGAAGGAACTATGGAGTCTGAATGCAGATGGAAGCATACTATTTTCTCTCTTTTTTTTCTTTCTTGTGGTTTTTCCCTTTTGTTCTGATTCTTCTTTCACAATATGACTAATGTGGAAATGTGTTTAATATGATTATACACAAATAGCCTATATCAGATTGCATGAGAGGGAGAAAAAAATTTGGAACTCAAAATCTTATAAAAGTGAATGCTGAAAAAAAAAAGTCATTATCCTAAAAACAAAACAACAAAAAGGTCTGCTCACTCTTCTTTTGGAACAGTTCTCCAGCCCAAGATCCTTTCCTGCCTCCCCCGTGGGCAATCACCCCTGGGTGTGTATGCTAACAGCATGGCTGAACCCAGCCCTCTGCTGTGACCCAGTCATTATGTTCTCTTCCTTTCAG